CTTCCTTCTTACAATACTGGTGTTTTGGAGTTAAAGTTGAAGAAAGTACACAGTTTTTATCGGTGCGGAGCGTCTTCGTAACAATAGGAACTTAGGGATAAGTTCCTTGAAACCAGTAGTTACAAATATAAAAATTCTGGGTTGGGGAATATGCGACCTAGCAAAAAGTGTTCCTACGGATTATGAAAATTATCAGCTTAAATTCCCCATTGCTAACTTGTCCCAAACAAATTGCACAACGATGGACACATCCGTCGGAATTAATAACCCAAGGAGCCTTTTGTCTTTTGATACATGTAGTTAACACATTCTGAGGCCAAATTCTGAGGTGTATTTCAAACCCAAATCTTTTGTAAGCTGAAGACGACGGGTATGGATGTTGCGTAGGCAGATGGAATGTCCGCATGAAATGTTTTTGGAGCACACCACACCATATTTTTCAAAGTGGAACTTCATTTCCCACTTGTTACAGCATAGTTGAACGCTATCAATATCATCCTAAGTTCTATCAAATACGCATGATACGTCAATTCCGAGTGAATGATACACAATTTTGATGTCATCAGAAAATGAAAAAGGTTTTCCGTGTTTAATAACGTCGCAAATATCATTGAAATATAACAGGAATAACAGTGGACCTAGGACACTACTTTGTACAACTCCCCTTGTTATCCAAACGGGATTGTGTGTGCGGGGAACTGACCTGACCATTTGCATTCAATTTCTTAGAAGCGAACTGAGCCGGTTTAACAATGAACATTGGATCCCGTAAGACTGGAGTTTCGTTATAAACAGTCGGTGGCTCACAGTGTCAAAGGCTTTACTAAGATCCAAGTATACAATGACTGTTATCTTACTGGAATCTTTAAGTTGTGAGGTGTGATCGATAAATTTCTAATGGCATGTCGTGAAAAACTTGACTTCATGAAACCATGTTGATAAGGGGTGATAACTTTCTCTTGAGATAGGAAGTAAAAATGGAGCTTATCACAATCTTTTTCAGAGCCCTTGAAATAACATAAGTAAGGTTAATGGGTTTGTAACTCGTGACATTTTAAAGCCAGCCTGACTTATACCTCAACTACCCTTGGTGATTCTAGAGCAATCTCCATTTCGCGACTACCTCTGTCAGCCTCGTCTCGTAAACCGTTAATGCCCAGCTCTTGCTACGCTGGGACTCACGCTGTTCCTCGAAGCTTCTCAGAAACGATTAGTACGAACGGACGCAAAAACCAGAACCCAGTTTGGCGACTCGATAATTATTTATTCTAACACCAACATATAGCCAATATTACAACTAAGGTCTATGAACAAATATTACAATGATAAGTCACAATATTACTTCTGACGGTTTTGTATGTGCCTTCTGAACAGCGATCGATGAGACGATGACAGGTGTATTGATGCCTCCGCGAAAAATTGGGGAAGTTAGGTTTGAGCAAACAACCACGAATTGATCGTTCAATCTTCAACTACATTGACAACCTCACTCCGCTCATCTAACACTGACTAGTTTTCCAAGGCCACCATGCGTCAAATTCAGCTACCAGGAACAGCTGGCGTTGGTATTTCGATGGTGGTACGAAAACAAGGAGAAAATAGGAGGACGCATCCGATGCTGAGAAATCAGGCTTCGAAACGTGAGGTGGCGGCAGACTGAGGCTTTAATACGTCCCCGGGACTCAGTGATATTAGACTGATGCGGTACTGAGAATATCAGTCCGTGTCACCCAAGTGTCCTGCCTAAATCCATGGAAAGAAACTACAACGGGCCGGTTCCATCGGAATCGGTCAACTAACCCCAAAATTAAGTCCCCACCAGCAGACAGCTTCACGCCAACTACCCCACAACAGGCTGAGGTTGTTATACTCACTGTCAGCTGTTTATATAGTAATGAGATAGGGCTGAGAGGAAATAAAGGTGAACTCCGAAATCTCGAAGCACACCTACAACTAAAAATGATCATTCCCACAGAAACGTGGCTATCCACCACTATCGCCGGAAACGAAATCAGTATAGGTGATATGGTTCTGGTCAGGAGAGACAGGGATAATAAGGAAAGAGGGGGAGTTGCTATGTATATATATATACCGATATCCATGCTGAAAATTCCATACTTGTACCAAAAATACAGTGTGGAATCAAGCTGTTATCAAAAATAAATAAATAAAATAAAATGTGCGCGAAACGGACCCACTACTTATTGAACTCCCAGACTAAATATGGTGTCATTTCACCGTAGGCCGAACCAAGCACTTACTGGGTGGCATCTACCGATCTCCTACCTGTGTGACAGAGCACAATCAGCCATTGCTCGGTACTATCAGGGGGATACGAGACTTTGGCTATGACCAAATCACCATAGCTGGAGATTTCAAAGCCCCATCACTGAACCTTGGCTCGGGGTGTGCTGAGGGAAAATTTGGCCGAAATCTACTGCAAACTATTTGAAACTCGGGATTGACTGAGAATGTTGGAGACGACACTAGGCGGGGCCCTAATGGAAAGTATTCAAAACTGGACTATATTCTAACTAGTGACCAACAACTCTTCGAAAAGGTTCAGATCATGACTCCTCCAGGAACTAGTGACCATGCAGTCGTAAGTTTCGATCTCGTTCTCCGTGAGTATTTGCAGTGGTACGTTACGTGACCATGTCTGTGTTACAGCAAGACTGACTATGCTGAAATGCGGAGGCTCTTGCCCGACACAGGCCGGCCCTTAGCATGGGATGAGCTGTCTGTGGATGAACACTGGGAAGTGGTAAAAAAGATTATTCATACAGGAATCTCGGATACCGTCCCTTCAGTTACAACAGAGCCCAAAAGAAAGCCATCATGGTTGAAGAGAGGCACGCAACGTATTCTACAAGCGAGGAACGCTTGGTTTACGCGGCGTGTGTCTATAAGTCAGACTGACCACGATGCATACCTCGAACTCAGAAACCGGTGCAATGCAAGAGTCAGGAGGGACAGGAGGCCATTCCAGGCTAACCTTGCTAAAATACTCCTAGCAAACCCTAAAAACTTGTACCGATTCATGTCGGAAAGAAAACCGACAAACCAAGGGGCATGCGACTCAGTAGGCCCAAACGGCCAATACCTCACTAGTCTGGAGATGGCTGAAACATTCAGTTCAGCCTTCGCCAAACAGCTAAACAGCACTGTGGATATTACAGTTACGGACCAAAATGGTGGCACCAATGTTTCACAGGAGGAAGATCTAGTGGCTACTCCCCAAATAAACCGCGCAATGGTGTTAAGAAAGCTACAGAGACTCACACCTGGGAAGTCCCCTAGCTATCTGTATTGAAACAATGTCCCAAAGCACTCTGTCAGCCACGTCTCGTAAACCGTTAATGCCCAGCTCTTGCTACGCTCGGGCTCACGCTGTCGCTTGAAGTTTCTCAGAAACGCTTAGTAATAACGGACGAAAAATCCAAAACACCAAATGGTGAGTCGAGGATTCTTTACTGTTACACCAACATATAAAAATAATGTTTTTACTAGGGTCTGTGAACAAATATTACAATAATAAATCACAATATTACTTCTGACGGTTTTCTGCTGACTTTTTTCTGAACAGCGACCGATGAGACGATGACTGTCGTATTGATGCCTCCGCGAAAATTGGGGAAGTTGGTTTTGAGCAAACAACCAAGAATTGATCGTTCAACCTTCAACCACATTTACACTCCCCACCAAAACAGGGATCAATCCCTTTTTTCCTTCACGACCAATGCACGTTGACTTGGATGCCATTGCGAGAACCTGGGTCACACGGACAGAGCGGAGATGGAAAACAAACAGAAAAGCCAACACAATACAAGCATACTCACAGCACAATCTCACACATCAATGACGACCTCCGCCTTCCAGTTAAAGGCATCCTCCCGACATCTTGCAACACAATCGCCACTTGCTAGAATGACTCTTGCAGAATGCAACGTCACCACAGCAGCACCTCATGATATTCTTCTCACATCCTCTTATCTATTCACTATCAATTACCATTGCGATCGCTTGTCACTCATTCTGTCTCAATTCTAGTAACGGTGACGCATGCGAGCCTCAGTCGTCGACACTCTTGCTCCTCGGCGTGTCGGACCGCAGCTAACAATTATCTCCGTGTGCATTTCATTCTCAGCAATATCCTCCCCGGCGTATACGACCCATCTGCTGTCCTTGACATCGATCAATTCATTCACGGATGTAGAAGAGTGGACACAACTTCAGAAGTAATCACGACGAAAATTTTAACAAAATTACGTAATAACAACGAGGTACGAAAACAACAAGTAAACACAATGGATCCATAAACACCACCAATTGATATGACACACCACACATATATACAAACTGTACAAACAAACTCGCAGATCGTGTCTCGATGGAATTCCTTTGAAGAATCGCAGGACTTACACCAGTACGCCTGAAACCCTTCTCAGGTTGACGATTGTAAGTTGTGGAATGTCCGGACACAAACAAGGTTAATCAACAATTACAACAATTGGAACTCACACAATTATTTAACACAAACATATGTACAATCAATACATCAAATGTTGTGGATTCCGGCATGACAAACTACCCTTGAAGAACTGTAGGACTTACAGCAGTACGCCTACAACCCTTCTCAGGTTGACGCCTTTAAGTTGGAAAACCGTCGCAGAGTTCATATGCTGACGTCCTTCTATCATCCATATCCTCAACTTTGAATGGAAGCACGCCCATGTCATTGTATCGTGGAATGTAGATGACGAACAAACATACGACATATCTGACTAACCAAGTGTAGGAACAGAGTAATTTACACCAACGATAACAACATTCAAGTAGTAACTTGAAACTTGAAAGACTTTTTTCGCGCAAATCAGTTTAACATTTACCCTCTGATACACAGTTGGCTTATCCTCACTAAACTAACCATTGACATTCGTCCTTTCAAAAGGACCTATACTAGGATAGTCATAACATGAGGAACGTGAGTTCATGGACGTCTATTTCATTGTGGATGACAACACCAACGACAACTGACCAACACAAGTTGATGAACTTAGTGGTTCATCAGCTGTTGTTGTTCGGCTTTTATAAGGCTGTCTAACTGCAAGACTAACAACACTGCTGTCTTTTCTTATTAGCCCCCGTTTAGCATTAACATCCGATGATAGATGGGCTACACGCTGATCATTTACAATGACAGTCTCATGAGTATCCATACCTTCTACCACCGCATTTGCTCTTAATTCTGCTTCACGTTCAAATTGTACAGAATCTTTGACCAATTCGGCAGTAGCAAACATTCCGTTCATCTCATCATGATCAACCAAAGACAAATCTGCACTATCATGATCATTATCATGAATATTCACTTTACCATCAATTTCGTCATTTTCAAACTCTTTATTAACAGCAGTAGATGATTTAGGTTCTTCCTCACAAATACCAAATGATTTCATACCTTCACTCTGACTAGTAATATCTTGTAAACTTGTGGAGTCAGAACTGCACTCTGAAGCAGTAACTCTATTCTGTGACACTCTATTCAACAATGGCTTACCAGTTGTAACTACAGACTTCTTCACCGCACCGTTATCGTCACACAATTCGGAGTCAGACCTGGAGTTTACATTGAGCTTATCACTGAACTTGCTCACTGGTTCACAGTTCACCTTTATATGCACCTCTTGGAAACGTGTAAAACACAACCGTTGTCAATCACGTCTCATAAACCGTTAATGCCCAGTTCTCGCTACGCTAGGGCCCACGCTGTTCCTTGAAGATTTCAGAAACGCTTAGTTATAACGGACGAAAAACCAAAACACCGATCTGCCGCTTGATATTTCTTTATTGTTACACCAACATATAAAAAGAATAAGTGAACTAAGGTCTGAAAACAAATATTACAATAATAAATCATTGTATTACTTCTGACGATGTTTCACACTTCTTTCTGAACAGCGACCGATGAGACGATGACTGTCGTATTGATGCCTCCGCGAAAATTGGGGAAGTTGATTTTAAGCAAACAACCAAGAATTGATCGTTCAACCTTCAACTCCATTGACACTCCCCGGCAAAATAGGGATCCAACCCTTTTTTCCTTCACGACCAATGCACGTTGACTTGGATGCCATTGCGAGAACCTGGGTCACACGGACAGAGCTGAAATGGAAAACAAACAGAAAAGCCAACACACCACAAGCATACCCACAGCACAATCTCACACATCAATGACGACCTGCGCCTCCAGACAGAGACCTCCTCTTGACATCTTGCAACACAATCGCCACTTACTAGAATGACTCTTGCAGAATGCAACGTGACCATAGCACGACCTCATGATACTCCACGCACATCCTCTTATCTACTCACTACCAATTACCACTGAAATCGCTTGTCACTCATTCTGCCTCAGTTCTAGTAGCGGTGACGCATGCGAGCCTCAGTCGTTTACACTCTTTCTCCCCGGCGTGTCGGACCGCAGCTAACAATTATCTCCGTGTGCATTTCATTCTCAGCAATATCCTCCCCGGCGTATACGACCCATCTGCTGTCCTTGACATCAATCAATTCATTCACGGACGTAGAAGACTCGAAACAACTTCAGAAGTAATCACGACGAAAATTTTAAGAAAATTACGTAATAACAACAAGATACGAAAACAACGAGTAAACACAATGAATCCAAAAACACCACCAATTGATATGACACACCACACATATATACAAACTGTACAAACAAACTCGCGGATCACATCTTGATGGAATTCCTTTGAAGAATCGCAGGACTTACACCAGTACGCCTACAATCCTTCTCAGGTTGATGATCCAAGTGGAAGTCGTCCGGACACAAACAGAGTTACCGACAGCTAGATGACAGATTATACCAATTCAGTATATACAATATGAACTTATATACAAAATCACACTGAGCACATTGGACTGCTCATTGATGCGCTACCCTTTGAAGAATTGTAGGACTTACAGCAGTACGCCTACAACCCTTCTCAGGTTGACGCCTTTAAGTTGGAAAACCGTCGCAGAGTTCATTTGCTAACTTCCTTCTATCAGCTATATCCTCAAATCTAAACGGCAACACGCCCATGTCATTGTATCGTAGGATATAGATGACGAACATACACACGAAGTATCTGTTCAACCAAGCGTAGAAACAGAGTAATTTACACCAAAGATAATAGCATTCAATTAGTAACTTGAAACTAGAAATGCCTTTATTCATGCAAGTCAATTTAACAATTACTCTCTCGTTTACACTGGGTTTATCCTCACTAAACTGACCAATATCTTTCGTCTTTTCAAATGCACCAATACTATCATAGTCACTGCACAAGATAGTTGAGTTGATGGGTGTCTGTTTCATTGTGGATGACAGCACCAACGACGACTGATTGATACCAGTTGATGAAGTTAGCGGTGGATCAGAGGCTGTTGTTGATCGACTTTCAGAAATTTGTCTACCTGCAAGACCACCACCACTGCTGTCTTTTACTATCAGCTCAGGTTTAGCATTAGCATCTGATGATAGGTGGGCTACATGCTGATCACTCACACTGACGGTCTCACAAGTATGCATGCCTTCTGCAACTGCATCTGCATTTATTCCTACTTCACGTTCAAGTTGTACAGAACCTTTATTTAACTTAGCGGTAGTAGGCATTCCCACCATTTCATCATGATCAACCAAAGACAAATCTGCACTATCATGATCATTATCATGAATATTCACTTTACCATCAATTTCGTCATTTTCAAACTCTTTATTAACAGCAGTAGATGATTTAGGTTCTTCCTCACAAATACCAAATGATTTCATACCTTCACTCTGACTAGTAATATCTTGTAAACTTGTGGAGTCAGAACTGCACTCTGAAGCAGTAACTCTATTCTGTGACACTCTATTCAACAATGGCTTACCAGTTGTAACTACAGACTTCTTCACCGCACCGTTATCGTCACACAATTCGGAGTCAGACCTGGAGTTTACATTGAGCTTATCACTGAACTTGCTCACTGGTTCACAGTTCACCTTTATATGCACCTCTTGGAAACGTGTAAAACACAACCGTTGTCAATCACGTCTCATAAACCGTTAATGCCCAGTTCTCGCTACGCTAGGGCCCACGCTGTTCCTTGAAGATTTCAGAAACGCTTAGTTATAACGGACGAAAAACCAAAACACCGATCTGCCGCTTGATATTTCTTTATTGTTACACCAACATATAAAAAGAATAAGTGAACTAAGGTCTGAAAACAAATATTACAATAATAAATCATTGTATTACTTCTGACGATGTTTCACACTTCTTTCTGAACAGCGACCGATGAGACGATGACTGTCGTATTGATGCCTCCGCGAAAATTGGGGAAGTTGATTTTAAGCAAACAACCAAGAATTGATCGTTCAACCTTCAACTCCATTGACACTCCCCGGCAAAATAGGGATCCAACCCTTTTTTCCTTCACGACCAATGCACGTTGACTTGGATGCCATTGCGAGAACCTGGGTCACACGGACAGAGCTGAAATGGAAAACAAACAGAAAAGCCAACACACCACAAGCATACCCACAGCACAATCTCACACATCAATGACGACCTGCGCCTCCAGACAGAGACCTCCTCTTGACATCTTGCAACACAATCGCCACTTACTAGAATGACTCTTGCAGAATGCAACGTGACCATAGCACGACCTCATGATACTCCACGCACATCCTCTTATCTACTCACTACCAATTACCACTGAAATCGCTTGTCACTCATTCTGCCTCAGTTCTAGTAGCGGTGACGCATGCGAGCCTCAGTCGTTTACACTCTTTCTCCCCGGCGTGTCGGACCGCAGCTAACAATTATCTCCGTGTGCATTTCATTCTCAGCAATATCCTCCCCGGCGTATACGACCCATCTGCTGTCCTTGACATCAATCAATTCATTCACGGACGTAGAAGACTCGAAACAACTTCAGAAGTAATCACGACGAAAATTTTAAGAAAATTACGTAATAACAACAAGATACGAAAACAACGAGTAAACACAATGAATCCAAAAACACCACCAATTGATATGACACACCACACATATATACAAACTGTACAAACAAACTCGCGGATCACATCTTGATGGAATTCCTTTGAAGAATCGCAGGACTTACACCAGTACGCCTACAATCCTTCTCAGGTTGATGATCCAAGTGGAAGTCGTCCGGACACAAACAGAGTTACCGACAGCTAGATGACAGATTATACCAATTCAGTATATACAATATGAACTTATATACAAAATCACACTGAGCACATTGGACTGCTCATTGATGCGCTACCCTTTGAAGAATTGTAGGACTTACAGCAGTACGCCTACAACCCTTCTCAGGTTGACGCCTTTAAGTTGGAAAACCGTCGCAGAGTTCATTTGCTAACTTCCTTCTATCAGCTATATCCTCAAATCTAAACGGCAACACGCCCATGTCATTGTATCGTAGGATATAGATGACGAACATACACACGAAGTATCTGTTCAACCAAGCGTAGAAACAGAGTAATTTACACCAAAGATAATAGCATTCAATTAGTAACTTGAAACTAGAAATGCCTTTATTCATGCAAGTCAATTTAACAATTACTCTCTCGTTTACACTGGGTTTATCCTCACTAAACTGACCAATATCTTTCGTCTTTTCAAATGCACCAATACTATCATAGTCACTGCACAAGATAGTTGAGTTGATGGGTGTCTGTTTCATTGTGGATGACAGCACCAACGACGACTGATTGATACCAGTTGATGAAGTTAGCGGTGGATCAGAGGCTGTTGTTGATCGACTTTCAGAAATTTGTCTACCTGCAAGACCACCACCACTGCTGTCTTTTACTATCAGCTCAGGTTTAGCATTAGCATCTGATGATAGGTGGGCTACATGCTGATCACTCACACTGACGGTCTCACAAGTATGCATGCCTTCTGCAACTGCATCTGCATTTATTCCTACTTCACGTTCAAGTTGTACAGAACCTTTATTTAACTTAGCGGTAGTAGGCATTCCCACCATTTCATCATGATCAACCAAAGACAAATCTGCACTATCATGATCATTATCATGAATATTCACTTTACCATCAATTTCGTCATTTTCAAACTCTTTATTAACAGCAGTAGATGATTTAGGTTCTTCCTCACAAATACCAAAAGATTTCATACCTTCACTCTGACTAGTAATATCTTGTAAACTTGTGGAGTCAGAACTGCACTCTGAAGCAGTAACTCTATTCTGTGACACTCTATTCAACAATGGCTTACCAGTTGTAACTACAGACTTCTTCACCGCACCGTTATCGTCACACAATTCGGAGTCAGACCTGGAGTTTACATTGAGCTTATCACTGAACTTGCTCACTGGTTCACAGTTCACCTTTGTATGCACCTCTTGGAAACGTGTAAAACACAACCGTTGTCAATCACGTCTCATAAACCGTTAATGCCCAGTTCTCGCTACGCTAGGGCCCACGCTGTTCCTTGAAGATTTCAGAAACGCTTAGTTATAACGGACGAAAAACCAAAACACCGATCTGCCGCTTGATATTTCTTTATTGTTACACCAACATATAAAAAGAATAAGTGAACTAAGGTCTGAAAACAAATATTACAATAATAAATCATTGTATTACTTCTGACGATGTTTCACACTTCTTTCTGAACAGCGACCGATGAGACGATGACTGTCGTATTGATGCCTCCGCGAAAATTGGGGAAGTTGATTTTAAGCAAACAACCAAGAATTGATCGTTCAACCTTCAACTCCATTGACACTCCCCGGCAAAATAGGGATCCAACCCTTTTTTCCTTCACGACCAATGCACGTTGACTTGGATGCCATTGCGAGAACCTGGGTCACACGGACAGAGCTGAAATGGAAAACAAACAGAAAAGCCAACACACCACAAGCATACCCACAGCACAATCTCACACATCAATGACGACCTGCGCCTCCAGACAGAGACCTCCTCTTGACATCTTGCAACACAATCGCCACTTACTAGAATGACTCTTGCAGAATGCAACGTGACCATAGCACGACCTCATGATACTCCACGCACATCCTCTTATCTACTCACTACCAATTACCACTGAAATCGCTTGTCACTCATTCTGCCTCAGTTCTAGTAGCGGTGACGCATGCGAGCCTCAGTCGTTTACACTCTTTCTCCCCGGCGTGTCGGACCGCAGCTAACAATTATCTCCGTGTGCATTTCATTCTCAGCAATATCCTCCCCGGCGTATACGACCCATCTGCTGTCCTTGACATCAATCAATTCATTCACGGACGTAGAAGACTCGAAACAACTTCAGAAGTAATCACGACGAAAATTTTAAGAAAATTACGTAATAACAACAAGATACGAAAACAACGAGTAAACACAATGAATCCAAAAACACCACCAATTGATATGACACACCACACATATATACAAACTGTACAAACAAACTCGCGGATCACATCTTGATGGAATTCCTTTGAAGAATCGCAGGACTTACACCAGTACGCCTACAATCCTTCTCAGGTTGATGATCCAAGTGGAAGTCGTCCGGACACAAACAGAGTTACCGACAGCTAGATGACAGATTATACCAATTCAGTATATACAATATGAACTTATATACAAAATCACACTGAGCACATTGGACTGCTCATTGATGCGCTACCCTTTGAAGAATTGTAGGACTTACAGCAGTACGCCTACAACCCTTCTCAGGTTGACGCCTTTAAGTTGGAAAACCGTCGCAGAGTTCATTTGCTAACTTCCTTCTATCAGCTATATCCTCAAATCTAAACGGCAACACGCCCATGTCATTGTATCGTAGGATATAGATGACGAACATACACACGAAGTATCTGTTCAACCAAGCGTAGAAACAGAGTAATTTACACCAAAGATAATAGCATTCAATTAGTAACTTGAAACTAGAAATGCCTTTATTCATGCAAGTCAATTTAACAATTACTCTCTCGTTTACACTGGGTTTATCCTCACTAAACTGACCAATATCTTTCGTCTTTTCAAATGCACCAATACTATCATAGTCACTGCACAAGATAGTTGAGTTGATGGGTGTCTGTTTCATTGTGGATGACAGCACCAACGACGACTGATTGATACCAGTTGATGAAGTTAGCGGTGGATCAGAGGCTGTTGTTGATCGACTTTCAGAAATTTGTCTACCTGCAAGACCACCACCACTGCTGTCTTTTACTATCAGCTCAGGTTTAGCATTAGCATCTGATGATAGGTGGGCTACATGCTGATCACTCACACTGACGGTCTCACAAGTATGCATGCCTTCTGCAACTGCATCTGCATTTATTCCTACTTCACGTTCAAGTTGTACAGAACCTTTATTTAACTTAGCGGTAGTAGGCATTCCCACCATTTCATCATGATCAACCAAAGACAAATCTTCACTATCATGATCATTATCATGAATATTCACTTTACCATCAATTTCGTCATTTTCAAACTCTTTATTAACAGCAGTAGATGATTTGGGTTCTTCCTCACAAATACCAAAAGATTTCATACCTTCACTCTGACTAGTAATATCTTGTAAACTTGTGGAGTCAGAACTGCACTCTGAAGCAGTAACTCTATTCTGTGACACTCTATTCAACAATGGCTTACCAGTTGTAACTACAGACTTCTTCACCGCACCGTTATCGTCACACAATTCGGAGTCAGACCTGGAGTTTACATTGAGCTTATCACTGAACTTGCTCACTGGTTCACAGTTCACCTTTGTATGCACCTCTTGGAAACGTGTAAAACACAACCGTTGTCAATCACGTCTCATAAACCGTTAATGCCCAGTTCTCGCTACGCTAGGGCCCACGCTGTTCCTTGAAGATTTCAGAAACGCTTAGTTATAACGGACGAAAAACCAAAACACCGATCTGCCGCTTGATATTTCTTTATTGTTACACCAACATATAAAAAGAATAAGTGAACTAAGGTCTGAAAACAAATATTACAATAATAAATCATTGTATTACTTCTGACGATGTTTCACACTTCTTTCTGAACAGCGACCGATGAGACGATGACTGTCGTATTGATGCCTCCGCGAAAATTGGGGAAGTTGATTTTAAGCAAACAACCAAGAATTGATCGTTCAACCTTCAACTCCATTGACACTCCCCGGCAAAATAGGGATCCAACCCTTTTTTCCTTCACGACCAATGCACGTTGACTTGGATGCCATTGCGAGAACCTGGGTCACACGGACAGAGCTGAAATGGAAAACAAACAGAAAAGCCAACACACCACAAGCATACCCACAGCACAATCTCACACATCAATGACGACCTGCGCCTCCAGACAGAGACCTCCTCTTGACATCTTGCAACACAATCGCCACTTACTAGAATGACTCTTGCAGAATGCAACGTGACCATAGCACGACCTCATGATACTCCACGCACATCCTCTTATCTACTCACTACCAATTACCACTGAAATCGCTTGTCACTCATTCTGCCTCAGTTCTAGTAGCGGTGACGCATGCGAGCCTCAGTCGTTTACACTCTTTCTCCCCGGCGTGTCGGACCGCAGCTAACAATTATCTCCGTGTGCATTTCATTCTCAGCAATATCCTCCCCGGCGTATACGACCCATCTGCTGTCCTTGACATCAATCAATTCATTCACGGACGTAGAAGACTCGAAACAACTTCAGAAGTAATCACGACGAAAATTTTAAGAAAATTACGTAATAACAACAAGATACGAAAACAACGAGTAAACACAATGAATCCAAAAACACCACCAATTGATATGACACACCACACATATATACAAACTGTACAAACAAACTCGCGGATCACATCTTGATGGAATTCCTTTGAAGAATCGCAGGACTTACACCAGTACGCCTACAATCCTTCTCAGGTTGATGATCCAAGTGGAAGTCGTCCGGACACAAACAAGGTTAATCAACAATTACAATAATTGGAACTCACACAATTATTTAACACAAACATATGTACAATCAATACATCAAATGTTGTGGATTCCGGCATGACAAACTACCCTTGAAGAACTGTAGGACTTACAGCAGTACGCCTACAACCCTTCTCAGGTTGACGCCTTTAAGTTGGAAAACCGTCGCAGAGTTCATTTGCTAACTTCCTTCTATCAGCTATATCCTCAAATCTAAACGGCAACACGCCCATGTCATTGTATCGTAGGATATAGATGACGAACATACACACGAAGTATCTGTTCAACCAAGCGTAGAAACAGAGTAATTTACACCAAAGATAATAGCATTCAATTAGTAACTTGAAACTAGAAATGCCTTTATTCATGCAAGTCAATTTAACAATTACTCTCTCGTTTACACTGGGTTTATCCTCACTAAACTGACCAATATCTTTCGTCTTTTCAAATGCACCAATACTATCATAGTCACTGCACAAGATAGTTGAGTTGATGGGTGTCTGTTTCATTGTGGATGACAGCACCAACGACGACTGATTGATACCAGTTGATGAAGTTAGCGGTGGATCAGAGGCTGTTGTTGATCGACTTTCAGAAATTTGTCTACCTGCAAGACCACCACCACTGCTGTCTTTTACTATCAGCTCAGGTTTAGCATTAGCATCTGATGATAGGTGGGCTACATGCTGATCACTCACACTGACGGTCTCACAAGTATGCATGCCTTCTGCAACTGCATCTGCATTTATTCCTACTTCACGTTCAAGTTGTACAGAACCTTTATTTAACTTAGCGGTAGTAGGCATTCCCACCATTTCATCATGATCAACCAAAGACAAATCTTCACTATCATGATCATTATCATGAATATTCACTTTACCATCAATTTCGTCATTTTCAAACTCTTTATTAACAGCAGTAGATGATTCGGGTTCTTCCTCACAAATACCAAAAGATTTCATACCTTCACTCTGACTAGTAATATCTTGTAAACTTGTGGAGTCAGAACTGCACTCTGAAGCAGTAACTCTATTCTGTGACACTCTATTCAACAATGGCTTACCAGTTGTAACTACAGACTTCTTCACCGCACCGTTATCGTCACACAATTCGGAGTCAGACCTGGAGTTTACATTGAGCTTATCACTGAACTTGCTCACTGGTTCACAGTTCACCTTTGTATGCACCTCTTGGAAACGTGTAAAACACAACCGTTGTCAATCACGTCTCATAAACCGTTAATGCCCAGTTCTCGCTACGCTAGGGCCCACGCTGTTCCTTGAAGATTTCAGAAACGCTTAGTTATAACGGACGAAAAACCAAAACACCGATCTGCCGCTTGATATTTCTTTATTGTTACACCAACATATAAAAAGAATAAGTGAACTAAGGTCTGAAAACAAATATTACAATAATAAATCATTGTATTACTTCTGACGATGTTTCACACTTCTTTCTGAACAGCGACCGATGAGACGATGACTGTCGTATTGATGCCTCCGCGAAAATTGGGGAAGTTGATTTTAAGCAAACAACCAAGAATTGATCGCTCAACCTTCAACTCCATTGACAACCGTGTTTGTCTTGCCTCTTGTAACTTATCTGTAGAGGATATACTGTGAAACCTGTTGCACTCATTAGGTCTATAAGCATTACTAGAGATCATGGAGCCTTCTCGATATCCACCTCTATGTGGCCCATTCGTCATCAATGATTACATTTTGCTCTCAGACTTCTCTATTCTATGGGTGATATGTAATAGACTGGCGATCTTGCTTATAGATTGTTTGACACTATCTTTTACTAGTTTCAGGATATCATGAAATTTTGGCTCGATATCCTCATCCTCCATACGGGAGCTTATCTTCACCCACTTCCTTTGCAGTCGAGTAGGTAGGCGTCTTGCTATTACTTCTAGTATAAAACTCGAGTTGAGGTCACTCATGCAATTCATCGAAATCAAGGTATTCTTATAAGTCATAAGATTATCTAAAAACTCAGTCATCTTGAAGTTGACTCCCATTACCTTTGACAGCTTAGTATACGTTCCTTACAATCATCGAAGGTCTTCCAAACCTTTGACGTAATATGCTCATAGCCTCATCGTAGCCCTCTTTTGGCTTCATAAACTTACAGCACTGTATAGCTCTTACAGCAATTCCAGTGCAATATCTCATCAAATACATCAACTTCATTTCATCAGTTAAGAAAAAACTACTCAGCATGATCTCAAACTCCTTTACAAACTGTAAATAATCAGCCGGGTGTCCGTCGAAACACCGTGGTTCAAATTTAGGGAGTTTGATGTTCCTATTATCCCTGAGCGGCGAAACAGTAACATCAAACATGTCGTGCTTAACATCAGACACATCGTTACAATTAACAGACAAGTCACCATGACTTACTTTCCTGTTTGCATCCAAGACGCTCTGTCCCTTCTTTGACCCAGGCATTGTTGAACTTGACCAAATTCCAAAATAGTTCCAGATATTGCTTGTTCAGAGAGGACTTGACCGGCACCAGGAAAGATGCGTAGTTCGTCCCGCCAATCGACTGTCGTAGCCTTGATTGACTCCAAAAGGAGTAGTGCAGGGATGGATAACTTGTGGTTTCTTGCATGAGGTGTGTTAAGACTGTTACTACTGTGAGTAGAGTTGGTCCTCCCACCAATTAGTCCACCCGAATCGTCGTCAAAAGAAAAGAGGTTGTAGCGGTAAATAATTCCCCAAAATTATTGACCACAGCAATCACTCACCATTGGATGCTGACCACCACTGTTTAAGTCGACTTGTTTAACTGAAGGCTTCCGGTCAAGCATCCCCGCCATTTGGTACCCCGTCGTGTCACGTGCACGATCACCAGCTAGCTAAGCGTTCGTCTGAAGGCTTGTTTTGGTCCCGAAATATATCACTTAGTTTAAACGATCAAATATTGGCTTTTGTTTTGTTGTTGGTACGCGAGAATACTTTAGAGGCTGGTGAGCCCAACCGCGAACTTCATCCACGATAAATCCGCAGATAACCCCGGTGAGTTCGTTCCATTTTGTATTTGTTCTTGTACCATATATTATTCGACATAATTTTCGTCATGAGTGATCTTAGTCCCAAGGTCATCGTATCCGCTCAACTCCTAAAACCATTCAGCTCGTACCATACTGGCCAGATAATGCTGAAACGTGGTTTCTGCTAGCTGAAGCAGATTTTTGTGAGCATGGGATAACCGATCAACGTTCACAGTTACTTGCAGTTATTCACGCCCTACCGCGGGAATTCAGCAAGTACGTAACATCACAGATGTTCAGTCCCGAGGTAAGTAACTCGTACGAGTTGCTCAAAGCATCCCTCCTCAGGAGAAACGTTCTCACGGACCGACAACGTCTAGATGAATTATTTCGTAACATCGAGTTAGGAGATCAGTCAGCCGTGAGCATGCTGACAAGAATGAGAGAAGTTATTGGCCAAAGTCAGTTCGACGAAGGACTATTTAGAGAACTCTTCTTATCCAAGCTGCCACAGTCTGTACAGACCGTACTTGTGACACTTCAGGGTACTGTAATAGAGGACTTAGCTATTACTGCAGATAGGATTCTAGAAATAACTAAACGGTCTGTTCCCGAAATATGCTCGATGACTAAGCAGACTTCGAGTAAGGATCCTGCAATGATAGAGTTATGCAACTCCATCCAGCAGATGTTTAGGTCAAACATGCATTCTAACTCCTCCGACCGTCGTCCTAAATCTCCTCAACGCAGGAACTCACGTGGTCGATCTAAGTCCAAACCACGTTCACTGAAAAACCCTGACTGGTGCTGGTACCACAACACCTATGGCCAAGAAGCGAAGTGTTGCCGTAAGCCTTGTAACTTCGGAAATGTCTCAAAGTCTGTGGGAAACTATCCCGCCGGCACGCGTTAGCGGCAACCGTCGCCGGTGGCACTAGCCGCCTTCTTTACATCCATGATGTGATAAGCCAGACTCGATACTTAGTCGACACAGGCGCCGAAGTCAGCGTCCTTCCTGCTACAGCAGCAGATCGACAGAAGGAACCTACCTTCAACTTACAGGCTGCAAATGGAAAACCAATCGCAACCTTTGGTAGGAAATACGTCTATCTGAACGTAGGTTTACGCAAACCTATTCGATGGATTTTCCTTCTCGCTGACGTTACAATGCCCATCATTGGCACGGACCTACTTAATCATCATGATTTACTCGTAGACGTCCGCCGAAAACGACTGATTGACAATACTACTAGTCTGTCTATCAAAGGCATCAGCTACATAGGCCCTAGTTTTTCACCCGTTAAGATAAAGGCAATTCTTGATCCAACTTTTCAACCTATGTTGACAAGTATCCGGAACTTAACTGCCCGTCGAACGACCTACCGTGCATAACCAGCAATGTTATGCACCACATCATTACCACAGGACAACCTGTGACATCTAAAGCACGACGATTAGCTCCTGACAAACTGAGAATCGCCAGGAATGAATTTGACCATATGCTTACCCTTGGCATCATTCGACCTTCGAATAGCCCATGGGCATCCCCACTTCATATGGTTCCGAAAAAGGATAGCAACGATTGGCGACCCACCGGTGATTACCGGCGAGTGAATGCCAAAACAACCCCTGATTGCTACCCGTTGCCTCATATACACGACTTGACGGCAACCTTATCCGGCGCGACTATATTCTCCAAAATCGACTTGGTTAAAGCGTATAACCAAATCCCGATGGCAACAGAAGATATCCCGAAAACGGCTATCATTACGCCTTTCGGACTTTTTGAATTTCTACGTATGCCATTCGGTCTCCGGAATGCAGCCCAAACATTCCAACGCTTCATTGACGAAGTATTTCGCGGTCTCGACTTTGTATACGCATACTTAGACGACTGCCTCATTGCCAGTCCAGACAAGGAAACTCACCTTAGGCACTTGGACTTGGCATTTGACAGGTTACGCCAACATGGTGTTACCATTAATATTCAAAAGTGTCAAATCGGTGTTGACTCACTCGACTTTCTGGGTCACACTATTGACTGCAAGGGCATTCGCCCACTGGCTACTAAGGTCGAGGCTATACTGAACTTTCCAGAGCCACAGACGGTGAAAAGTCTCCGCACTTTTAACGGCTTAGTAAGTTATTATCGACGCTTTATTCCCAACTGTGCCTCTTTGATTCAGCCATTGACAGACCTCCTTCGAGGGAATAACAAGTCCATAGAACTTGACGCGTCTGCTCGAAATGCTTTTACCCAGATTAAAAAAGCTATTGCGAATGCCACACTTCTGATGTATCAGGATCCAACGGCACCGTTAAGTATCTCGGTTGATGCATCAAACACTGCAATCGGCGCAGTTCTACAACAGCTAGTTGACAAAGAGTGGCAACCACTCGCCTTTTTCTCCAGGCGCCTTCAATTAGCTGAAACGAAGTACAGCACATTCGGCAGAGAACTTCTGGCTATGTACTGTGCTATACGACATTTTAGACATTCGGTAGAGGGTCGTGAATTCATAATTTTTACTGATCACAAACCTCTGACGTACTCTCTGAACTCACCTTCAGATAAGTATTCACCCAGGGAATCACGACAACTGGATTACGTTTCACAGTTTACATCAGATATTCGCCATGTATCCGGAGTAAACAACACTGTGGCAGATGCCTTGTCGCGCGTTTGTTCCCTCACCCAAATCGACGGCATAGACCTTGTAAAACTGGCTCGTCTTCAAAAAGAAGATACCGAGCTTCAACATGAGTTGTCGAAAACAACTCTACAATTAGCTGAGAAACCCTTAGGTATGGGAAGAGATACTATTCTATGCGACATTTCCACGAGTACTCCTCGCCCCATCGTGCCTAAAAGTTATCGCCGTAACGTCTTCAATACGTTGCATGGCTTATCTCACCCAGGTATTCGAACTACTGTCAAGCTCGTAACTAGTCGGTTTTGTT